TAGTATTTAAATAGTTTTAAACTTCATTTAAGCAATTAAAAATAGAAGGTGCAGACAAGCAAAAGAATACTATTGAGAGAGCAATTTGGGCTTGTAACAAGATTATCAAATATAGTGATGATACAATCAATATTTTGAAAGATAGCACACTATCCAATGTAAGAGCAATTGAGAGAAATTCGAGATCAGTGAAGGACCCCAAACCCTTTAATGAGTACAATGACTAATATTTACTTGAAGTATCCTATCACGTTTAGGGGTGACTCAATAAAGTTGGATCTTGTTCCCAAAGAATTATATGCAGGAACCGACAATAGAAGATACAAGAGACTTATGTGTAAAACATAGGGATGCCCGATCTGGATCGATTTTTTAAAAGATTGATGATGATTCAAGGGAATACGATCTTCACCCAGATCGAATCGTATGCCTATAAGATCGTAACAAAAAGTCGTATCAACTAAAACCTAAACATCAACCGAACCGTAACGTACTAACGTACGTACGTACGTTCGTACGAACTGATCTTTCCATACCTATCGTATTGCCGAGGAGGTGATAGAATAACTAAAACAAAGTAAGATTACCTACCTACACATTTAATGATAGTAGCTTCGAGTTACATCAAAAGCAGTAATGTATAAAATATGAAGGAAGGTATGATAATATTTTGTTTATTTTATTATCGGGTATCTATGTTAGTGTTCTATGATCTTTCATTCTTTGTATTATTGCGATACGAAAAGTTAAGCTGTTAATATAATATTGTAATGTAGGGTAAGCTTATTGTTAGTATAAGGAAGGTAGTTTGTGACCTCCCTCTCTCGCAATAAATGGTTGAACTGTACGGACGTGTTTTCTTATGTCTCACTCTGTCTGACTCTTGTCACTTGAATACTCCAGAGTTATAATTCATTCCTTTCCTGTGTTAAAAGTATGCTGGTAGTGTATCAACTACAGCATTCTAAAACCGTCAATACACATATAGTGTCATTAGGGGGTGTGACAGATGATTTGAGGACGACCACAAAACGACTTGCTGATCAATTAGAGATGGACAACCACTTCAGCAGAGATTTGACACAACAATTGAATCACTTCACTTCAAGTATAGCTCAGTATATGGAAACACTAGAAGCAAGGACTTTGGAACTTCACCATCCCACCAGGAAAACTCCTCGGTCTACAACAACTACCCCCACGGCCGACTCAGAGAGCATGCCCCAGCAAAATCTTCCTGGGAGAATTGAGGCCATCCCAAACACATCTTACCGCAACTCACTCATAAGTGTCTCTTTTGACAAGAATCTCAACATTACAACTTCCTCTCATGTGGCAAAAGCTAAACCCCTTGTATCAATATGTAATTTGCCCATCAGTCCTAAGGTTGTTTGTAACATCTTAAACCAGGATCTCAATTTGATCATTGCAAACCTTACTCCCAATCCAAATTTCTTTTCCAATTTCACTACAACTGACAGTAAGGAAGACCGAATAAAGATGCTCAGGACTACTTTTGGTAAAATCTCTTCTAAAGAGGGTCAATGGATCCGAGAGGATCTTTCCTTTTAAGACAAACAATAAATCCAAACGTAATTTCTACCATTCCTATAATCATCTAGCAATAAGAGTTTGTCATGACTCCCCGCCGATATAGGTTAAGAGTTAATCATTAAGACAATTACTCAAATAATTCTCCTAAATTTTATGTAACATTAATGTTTCTACCACTCTCATAATTTTTATAATTATTCATAAAAAACCAATCAAAATAATCCATTATCTTTCATCATTATAGAGGATTAGTTCGCATACTTTATCCATAACTTAAATTCAACGTCATCACAATGTCTTCCTTATTAAAGATACTCTCAAAGACCAAACAAAAGGACAAGGAAAATGATAGTAAGAATTCCACCAGAATCCCCAATGATACCTGCAATTCTGAAAGTATCTCTTGGAATACAGGTAGAGGGCAAGATAAACACAAATATGGTACAGGACTACTTTTCACTAATAATTTTGGCTCTCCTCCACGAAATTTTAGAATCAAAGGGCGACTTTCGTCCGGTGCTCCCCTCTTTATGGGCAGGGTTAATAAAGATAATCACCCAAAATGCAACAGTGCATCAATTCTCCATGTCTATTTCTGAAATGGTCTGTGCAACCGCCAGTGAGACATAAGAAAACACGTCCGTACAGTTCAACCATTTATTGCGAGAGAGGGAGGTCACAAACTACCTTCCTTATACTAACAATAAGCTGACCCTACATTACAAATATCTCCAAATAAAACGACTTTACCGAACAAGTCCGATTCTTCTTCTTCTTCCAGTAACAGCAGTAGTTCATCTTCTTCTAACTTCGATAGTTCATCTGAGGCGGACCAAAATAACGATATTGTAGGTGAAGAAATAAAAGGCAAGAAAAGAACAAGGAAATCCGAAAAATGGAAAGTAAATGTCGCAAAAAAGCTGAGAAATTCTGGTAAGCCTTGTGGAAAGAAGTCCACCCATCTTGTGGAGAAAACTGTAGCCTTAAATGCAGTTCAAAAATAAATTAAGCTACAAGACAAATGCTATCTAATAATTAATGGGGTTCTGAAAATTTGCAGGCACAAAGAGAATTTATTTTAAGGCAGACACAAGAGATTGAACCTAAGTATAGATACTCAAATGCGCAAAACTTTCGTGCTCTTAATACAGCGTTCTACTTTGATGTAGAAGGCTCGCGTATTCGAGTATGTAAAATTTTTTTTAAAGCCACGCTAGATTTAAATGACAGACCAATAAAAACAGCGTTATCAAAAATATCTGAATCTGGCTTTGTAGAAGGAGAATTGAGGGGTAAGCATGGTAAGCATCCAACAATTGATCCAGACATTAGAAAAAAAGTGAAAAATTTTATCAACAGTATACCACGTATTGAATCGCATTACCTTCGAGCGCAAACTCCACGTGAATACATACAAGTGATAAATGTCTAGCCGATTTGTATAGACTCTATAAAGAAATTCGTCAAAGAGACAACTTACTAATTGCTACAGCTGACGCTGTACATTTAATCGGATCTTTAATACAGAGCTCAATATCTCATTCTTCACACCGAAAAAGGATCTTTGCGATCTATGTAAAAGTTACAGTAATTCAGATGAAAATGGCAAGGAGAAACTACAAGAAAACTATGAACAACATCTTATAGAAAAATAATTAGCAAGGATAGAAAAGGATAATGATAAAAAAAGAACTGATGTTAAAGTAGCAGTATGTGATCTGCAAACAGTAATGCAAGTGCCTAAAGGACAGGTATCCTTATTTTTTTATAAATCTAGGATAAACTGTTTTAATTTCACGGTCAGTAATTTAAAAGCAAAAAAAGTAATTTGTTATTTCTGGGATGAGACAGAGGGAAAACGAGGTTCTACAGAAATTGGAAGCTGTGTTATTAACTACATTGAAACACTGATAGCTGAAAATGCAGGAAAAGATTTAAATGTTATATTCTACTCTGATAATTGCTGTGGCCAGCAGAAGAATTATATATTATATTATATTATATTATTTACTGTCTGCCTACCCTTTGCTGTTTTTAAGATGGGAATAAAGTCCATTACACATAAGTTTTTAATACGAGGTCACTCTCAAAATGAGGGTGATAATGTTCATAGTGTGATAGAAAAACAAATAAAAAGGCATATGAAATCAGGCCCAATTTATATACCAAATCAATATTCAACACTAATTCGAACTGCAAAAAAGACTGGTCTGCCTTATAAAGTTCAAGAAATGACACATGTACAATTTTATGATCTGAAATACCTACAAGAAGAATGGTGTACAAATTTTACATTAAACGAAGATAAAGAACAGGTAAAATAGCAAGAAATAAAAATACTTCGAGTAGAAAAAGAAAGTCCTGGCATGTTTTTCTATAAAACATCCTAGCTGACCTAAACTTTAAAAAAGTTTTAGTGCAAAAGAAAAAAACCAAACAAACTCAAGAAGAATTTTCTTCTGGTTTGATGAAAGCTTATACGTTTAAAGTTCTGTTATCTGAAGCTAAAACCAAAGATATTAAAGAACTTATTGAGAAAAACGTGATTCCAAAGAATTACGAGTATTATGACAGTTATTATAAAAATGTGTTGAATTTATAAGCACATTGTTGCAAAGTCTGATAAATATTAGTACCTAACCGATTAAGTAGGTACTTAAATTGCGACGAACCTCGACAGTCTTTTTAAAAACACAATTTAAAGTATAAAATGATTTAATGTTCTTTCGAAGGTGGTTAGTTACAGAATGAATGCATATTAAATGTTAATAAAATAAGTCTAGTACAATTATCATATCGTCTTACATTACTTTAGAATTATCACTCGAGTTCTCACGCATGTGCTGATGTGGCTGTTTGGAATATTGAGCCAGGGACGGATTGAGGCGATATAACTCCTCCCTCCACAAGTTCGGGATTATCCTCGGGATTATCACGAATTTTACAGATTTTACAGATTTCAATTAATTTATGTTTAAAAATAATACTTAACCCTCTGTAGCGCCGTGTGACATTTCTGTCACAAACCGATTATTTGTCATTTAAAATTAAAATATTATTTCGAGTCCATTTCGCGACACTGTAACATGACTGTAACAAACCGATGTATCGACTTAGTTTAACACAAATAATGTAGATGCCGTTAGTGCCGCGTGACAGCACTTGTTTGTCGACCGCGCGTTCTAAACTACCTGCTTGCTTTTTACAAATGATTGAATGATGAAATCTGTAAAAAATTGAAAAACGCGATATATACTGTGTAGATTTCGAAAATATACAAGGTGAGTACATATACTTTGTGGTGTATTGTGGGTTTTTATGTATTTGAATGCCTTCGTTGAGTTTGACTGTCTGGCTTGTTTGTACCAGAAATGTCACATTGCCTAACGTGGGTATTTTTTTTTATGAAGCAGCTCATTACATGGTTCATTTGCTTTCTTTTTAGAATGACTTTTCGACCTCTTCCGGCTGACGAAATAGCCAAATTATTGAATGAAATAAACGAAGACAGTGAAGATGGTATGGAAGATGACGATGATAGTGTTGCAGATCCTGATTATCGAGCTGAGGATGAGATGGAACAAGAGCAGTTTTCTGGCGATGAAAATGAAGATGATGAAGTGAACCTTGAAGAGATCATTCATAGTTTAGAAGACAATCAACCTGATCCGTCTCCATCTACTTCTGCTGTGCCAACTAGATCGCAACAAACCCAATCTGTGGTACAACCTAGAAAGCCACTAAAACTCAACCTGCGATGGAAAATGAAATGCCTGCTTTTGAATGAGCATCAGTTACGTTTTCTTGGAAACGAAAACTTACCAACAAATGTTCTAGAGCTTGACACGCCGATCCAGATTTTCTTGTCCTTGTTTTCTAAAGATTTAATTGATTTTATAGCAACTCAAACTAATTTATATATTGTGCAAAAGGATCCCAATAATAATTTTCGGGTTTCCACAACAGACATCCAGCAATTTATTGGCATAGTGTCTTTCATCATGTCTTTGGTTCAGCTTCCTCGAGTTACCCATCATTGGAGTAGCACCATTGGAACTCCTATGATTCAAGAAATAATGCCGGTAAAGATGTTTGAAAAGATTCGACAATTTATACATTTTAATGACAATTTGCAAAACTTTCCTCGCGAACATCCGGAATTCGACAGACTGTTCAAACTTAGACCAGTTGTACAAAAATTAAACCAATCTTTTTCTGAAATCCCTTTAGAACAATATCTTTGCGTCGATGAGCAAATATGCTCTACGAAAGCTAGAAATAACTTGAAAAGATATAACCCGAAAAAGCCTCACAAATGGGGTTATAAGATTTACGTTCTCAGTGGAGTATCTGGATTTGCGTATAAAATCGAACCCGAAACTGGCTCAGAAAATGTGGTACTGCCCAACGAACCTGATCTTGGTGCTTCCTCAAATGTTATCGTGCGTCTATCAAGAGAAATACCTCGCAACCAAAATTACAGATTATATTTTGACAATTACTTTACAAGCTTGCCACTGCTAGAATACTTGTCACAAAACGGTATACTGAGTCTTGGTACAATACGCCGAAACAGGATTCCAGATTGTAAATTACCTACAGACAAAGAAATGTCCAAAAAAGACAGAGGCTATTCTGTTGAGTATGTTGCTGATGTCAACGGTGTGGATGTAGCAACCGTAGCCTGGAAAGATAACAAAGTAGTAAATTTAGCATCCAGTTTTGTCGGAGAAATGCCAAAAGCACAGGTGAGGAGGTATGACAAGAAGACCAAGCAGTACATAACAATTGATCGTCCAAATATTGTTGGAGAATATAATCGCCACATGGGTGGAGTAGACCTTATTGATAGCATCATGGGATGCTACAAAATACGGCTTCGTAGCAAAAGGTGGCAGGTTAGAATGTTTTATCATTTATTGGACTTGAGTATAGCAAATGCATGGCTTCTTTACAAAAGAATTCAAAAGGCTAAGGGATTGCAGGAAAAACATTTGAACTCGGCTGATTTTCGGCTTCAAGTTGCTACAACTTTATGTAAGCTTAGTGTACCATCGAAGATAAAGAACCGTCGATCTATCGAAAACGAACTTCAATCAAAACGACACAAAGGTCCAGCACAACATGTTCCTCCAGTGGCAATCAGGCAGGATCAGACAGGACACTGGCCTGTTTGGACAGAAAAGAGAATTCGCTGCAAATTTCCTAAATGCTCTGGTGTCTCGCAAACAATATGCGAGAAGTGTGGCGTTGCTTTGTGCTACAATAAACATAACAATTGTTTCAAACAATTTCACCTAAGTTAAGTTACCTTTATGATGCAGTGTGACATTTATGTCACACTCCCTTTAAATTTGATTTTCTCAAATAAATAAAAATAAAAAGATTTTTCCCGGAACACGTGTATATTTATTTGTTTCAATTAACATTTTTCACCACTTAGTTTTAAAATTGGATATCTTGCCCTACAGAGGGTTAAAATAATTAATATAATAACTAAAATAATAATATTAACTAAGCTAACACTTTTATTAGTAATTTCACTTTTTGCATTTTCACTTAACTCACTGTCACTAATTTCTCCCATACTTTTCTGCAGTAATAGATTCAGGAACTGTACGTCTGCTATATTAATTCCATCGAGATTCACAGGCTTCTTCAGAGGGTTTGACGGGTTGAGTATGATCTTTGGTAAGTTTATTAATGGCTGTCTTAGGTAGGTTATTTCTTTACCTTGAGTCTGATGTCTTTTCAGTTCGTATCCTTTGATTTTCACCTTACAGTTATCATCCATAGTTAAGAGGTAGGTTCCTAGTAGAATCTCTTGGCTTACTTCATTGTCGCAGAATTTAGTCATAGCTGTTTCAGTATTTGAGTAAACTATCCAGCGATTTGGTTGTATGATGTAGATCTTCACATTTTCTAGGGTGACAGGGGTCGGGTGACAACTTGAGATATTTGTGTGAAACTGCATGATTTCTACGACACAGTTGTCATTGGTGAAGAGTTGTATGTCGTTCTCATGACACAGGAATCGGCGTTCGTCGACCTCGCGACATGATTGAGAGAGCGGTGTTGCTTTCAACCCTTTCACAAGTAGGTACGGATTTTTAGGTAGGATGAGAGTCGTCTGGCCATTATGTAATACAGGTAAGGGAACCAATATATAATAGTTAAAAATTTCATTTCTAATAAGTGGAATACTCATAATAAACTTTATCTGATTCTGTTTAATATAGGCTTTTATCTCGATACATCTTTCTAATTTTACAATATTTTCATAAGTGACAGGAAACACTAATTTGTCAGTTTGTTCTATTTCCTTAAGCAATATTATAAGTTCTTCTGTATCAATTATTGACTGGTGTAGTACATTAATTTTACTAAAAGCAATGGCTGTTTCGATTTCACTCAAATGGAAATATAAATTATGAAAATTATCAAGGAAGATATTATAAAGGTGAATGAGTTTGGTAATCGTCTGTCGAAAATCGGAGTTGTTTAAAGCTTGATTAATGTTTTGAATATTATCTTCTAATCGTATAAAATTGCTTTTAGTAGAATTTGCCATGGCTGTAAATGAGCCCACCATTTCGGAAACTATTGTCATTTTATTTTTAATCACGTTTTGTTCCGTATGTAGCTTATTTATTAATCTTTCATATCTAAGAGCGTCATTATTATCTAAGTTACCTGTGATAGCTTTTATCAAAGAGCCTACCGGATCGAGGAGACCTCTTTTGGTTCGTAATGGAGGAATTAATTGTTTAAATTTGTCGATGGTAATATTCATAGTATAATCGGTTTGATATTGGACGGTAGTAAAATCTGAATCAAATGATTTAGTATCGAAACAACTTTGAACATGCTTTTTAAGTAGCCCATATTTATTCATACTTGATTCTAATTCATCGTAAATTAAATTTAAATCTAATATCTTAATAACTATCCAGTTATCATAATTAACAAATGCTTGACCTTCGTCAACAGGTAACAATCTCGGATTCTTGTCAATGCGAAGCTGATGAAGGGCCTGGCTTCCCATTGTTCGGATCACCAGTAGAAATAATCTGCGAAGGACGTTTTATGTCTTTAATAGGAACATTAGTAATACGTTTATTGGTTTCAACGGGAACTACATTTCTTTTTATAGCACCGGTGGCATGAGCCTTTTGGTAACGTGTTTTATCTTTGCCCCGTCTAGTATTAACATCTTTTATGAACACCGTATCACCTACATCTATATCGAACTGTGATTCGCCTGCGTGTTTTTCTCTCACCGTCAACTTTTTGTCAATTATTTTATCCGTATGATATTCATATAAATATTTGGTCCTTTTAGCGTGATCCTTTACTAACTGCTGTGTGAATTCCTTATCGAAATTAATGGCAAATGTACTATTGGATTCGGTGTGTCCGAATACTACTTGAAAAGGCGTTAGATCTGTCGAAGAGTGAATTGAATGATTGTATGACATAACAGCATACGTCATCACTGACGCTGCGTCTGTAATTTTATGTTCGTATTTCGCGATTCGGTAAATTTCAGTAATAGTTGAATGAAACCTTTCGATAAGTCCCATAGAGTTGGGGTTGTGCGCAGTACCAATGTGTAGATTGATTTTGTATAATGTTAGCATTTCCTTTAAGAGTACGTTATTAAATTCCATACCGGGATCTGAACTGATTTTGGATGGAATTCCGTAAAATGAAAAATACTTTATTAAAGCTCTTATTACTTCCGGGGTAGACCTACTATTAATTTCAATTGCTTGACCCAATTTGCTGAACGCGTCTATCAGGGTTAGAAAATACTTGCCTTCTATCGAAAAGGTATCAATGAAAATTTCTTGGAATGGCTTAGACTGGGTTTGAGTCAATTGAAGTTGAGGTTTTAGGGGTTTACGGTCGTACTTCATTTTCTTGCAGACCTCACATGAGTTTATAATGCTCGCTACCGTTTGTTCCATATTATTCCAATAAAACGTTCGCCTCAAATGTACTAATGTTTCCCTAATACCTCTATGGCAATGTTTACCTAAATGATATTTAAGAACTACTTCGCGTTGCTCATTTTCATCTTCTACATATACTATCCTCTTTGTACATTCATAAAATTTAACACTGTCCTTTTTGAATAATTGCGTTGTGGCTTCCGAAAACTGCTTGCGATGTATGACATCTTCGAAATAAAAAAATATTTAATTTTAGGTCTGATATACTCTTTCAGGAATTTTTTAATTAAATCCAAATTGTTTAATGGTAAGTGAACTTCCAATATGTTCTGTTTAGCCCTATATAAGTTTTTAACCGAACATTCATTTCTGTTCCAGGTATGAACGAGTATTTGATTTGGTTTCGCATCAATCGCTTCCTGGAGAATTAATATTCCTGCTATGTCTATATCTTTAGCCAAATGTACTGTATTGTTACTACTGTGTCCTTCAGAAGCTGTGGCGGTGCTACTATTTGGAGATGGTATCGGATATGGAGATTGTCTACCATATAAAGAGGGAATACTTAACGTTTCCGAATCGGATGATACTGTTACTACGTCCCCCGCCTGATTCGAATTACCTAGCTGTACAATTTTAGAGACTACATTGCTCAAATGGCGTTGAAGTTTTTTCTCGTTTTTGTCTACATTCACTTGCATGGAAACATTATCGTTATCGGTTAAGGCGTTAATCTTAATTCTAGATAAAGCATCAGCGTTACAATTTTGTTTCCCGTTCTTATACACTATTTCGTAGTCAAATTCCGATAGGCGTAACTTCCATCTAGTTAGTTTGCTATTCGGTTCATTAATGGAGTTTAGCCAGGCTAAAGGGCGATGATCAGTGTAAATTGTAAATTTTTTTCCATATAAGTAAGGGCGGAAATGTTTGACTGCCCAAACGATTGCCAAAAGCTCTTTTTCTATTGTGCTGTATTTCGTTTCAGCATCGTTCAACGTTCGACTTGCAAAGGCTATAGGCTTATCACTACCGATAGGTCCCTGCGATAGAACTGCACCGAGAGCAAAGTTCGACGCATCTGTGGTGAGAACGAACGGTCGAGAGAAGTCAGGATATTGTAAAAGTGGGGCGTTTGTTAAAAGTTCTTTACATCTTTCAAATGCGTCTATATATTCTTTTGTAATTTCAATTTTGTTTTTCTTTTTCAGGCAAGAGGTAAGCGGTTGTGTAAGTTTAGCGAAGTCTTTAATGAATTTTCTGTAATATCCCACTAATCCGAGAAAACTTTTTATTTCTGTGGCTGTACGCGGTAATGGATATTTTAGTACTGCTTTAATTTTTTCGTCATTTGGTTTTAAACCCTCTTTTGTAATCGTATGACCTAGATATAGGACTTTTTTTCTCAAAAATTCACATTTATCTAACGTGACTTTTAAATTGGTTTCTCTGAGACGGTCAAAAATTTTAGTTAATTTTTCAATATGTTCCTGAAGACTAGCCGAATACACAATTATGTCATCGAGGTACACTAAGCAATGGAGACCTTGGAGGCCTCTTAAGATATTATCCATTGCTCTTTGGAAAGTTGCAGGGGCTGTCTTTAATCCAAACGGCATGCGTTTGAATTCATAGTGACCGGATTGAGTTGTGAAAGCTGTCTTTGGCCTATCAGCTTCATTAACTTCTAATTGGTGGTAGCCACTTGCCAGGTCAAGGGTACTAAAATATACAGATTTGCCTAACTTATCAAAAAGGTCAGTTATATTAGGTAACGGGTATTTATCGTCTATTGTATTCTCATTTAATCGCCGATAATCTATAACCATTCTAAATTTAGGCCGCCCGGATGCATCTGGTTTTTTGGCGACTAAGTGAACCGGTGCGCTCCAAGGTGAGTGAGAATTTTGGATTACGTTATCTTGAAGAAGTTTGTCTACTTGTCTTTGTACTTCCTCATTTTGGGAAGGTGGGTGGCGATACGGTCTTATATATATAGGATCTTCGTTAACTGTTCTAATACAGGGTGGGCCAAGAATTCGTTAACATTTAAATGTAACTTACCGCGCAAACTATTGCCGCGCGGGGCGCGGGCGCGGGCGGGGGCACTAGCTCGCTTCTTGGAAATTTAGTCGCAACGGATCGCTTCACGGGGCAGCAACGCGCTTATTGCGTGAAACAGTTTTATTTAAACGACTTTTCGCTCATTACTGTGAGACGCTTATTTCGCGTTGAATATGGTTTACACGACTTAAGTCAGTGTCCAAGTGCTCCTTTAATAAAGAAATGGGTGAAGAAGTTCGAAGAGACGGGATCTACACTAAATGTGTAACAAACCGGCGGCCCACGGACTTCTCGGAGCGAAGAGAACGTGCAGCAAGTTTCCGCTTCTGTTCGACGTGATCCAGATTTATCGACACGCAAACGTTCGGCTGAATTAGGATTATCCCGCACATCATTACGCCGTATTTTGAAATTAGGTTTGAAATTACATCCATATAAGATCCAGCTAGTGCAAGAACTAAACCCTAATGATTTAAATTTGCGTAAGTCATATGCCGAAACAATGTTAACTCGTTTCAGTAATTTTCACAACATCTTATTTTCTGACGAAGCCCATTTCCACCTAAATGGACATGTAAACAAACAGAATTGCAGGTATTGGAGCAGCGAAAATCCTAAAGCTAAACATGAGAGGCCACTTCACTCTCCTAAGGTAACTGTATGGGCTGCAATTTCAGCAAAAGGAATCATCGGACCTTACTTTTTTGAAGATTCTCGAGGCCGTTCAGTTACTGTTAATTCTGCCGAGTATGTGAAAATGTTACGGGAGTTCTTAGCACCGATGCTACTGGAATTTGCTGGCTATAATCGTAACACATGGTTCCAACAAGATGGAGCCACGTGTCACACATCGAACGAGTCCTTGCCGGTGGTCAAAGACATGTTTCCGGAAAAGCTGATATCCAGACGGGGTGACATCCCATGGCCACCCAGAAGTCCAGATCTATCCCCAGCAGACTTCTTTTTATGGGGTTATTTAAAGAGTCGTGTCTACATTGATAAACCGAATACACTGCGTCAACTTAAAGAAAAAATCATCGAAGAGATGTCGGCTATCTCGCGGTCTCTTTGCAGAAGAGTATTCGAAAACTTCAGGACTCGCTTAGATGAGTGCAAAAACCGAAACGGTGGTCATTTAGACGAAATAATTTTTAAAAAATAAATTACAACTAATTAGCTTTCTCGTAAATAAACGATTTCTAAAATATGTTAAATGGTTTTTTTTATACGATTTTTTCAAATGTTAACTAATTCATGGCCCACCCTGTATTATGTTTTACCTGATTTGTAAAAGAAAGCGGAATTTTCTCACTATAAAATATGTCGCGGTACTCATAGCATAATTTAGTTATAGCTTTCCGTTCTTCTTCATTTGTATGATCTAATCGTAGTTTAATTAAATTTTCTTTTAAAATCTCATCTATCTCGCAATCGGAATTTATCACATTTATGGCACACTCATAAATTTAATATTAGCTTTTTCATTCGACACATTTTGAATAATGGTTTCGGCAAAGAAATTATCACACTTGATAAGGGCACATGGCATACGAACTCCCTCACTAAATTGTGTAAAATCAGTGATTGCGTCCCCGTTTTGTAAGTTGGTGGGTATTTTTACTCGTGTTTCCGATCTTGGTTCTAAATTAATTTCATAAGGTGGATTATAAATTATTGGGATTTCAGTGTTAGGTGTTCGTAAAATTTGGTGGTTCATATCGATATTAGCTGCCAATTTTTTTAATGAACTGGCTTGGCTTTATTGTTTTTGGAGTTATACTGAGCTAAGAAGTTAATTTCCTCTGTGACTATACTTAAAGCGATCTCCAAAGTAAAACAGCCCTTGAGTCGGACAATTCTAATAAGATCTTCGGGTAAATTGTACAAAAACACGTTCAAAGCGGTATTATTATATATAATCATTTTGGCTGCATTTATTCCTTCATCACAATGTCTTTGGACTTTAGCGAATAAAGAACTTTTTACAGTTTGTATTCTAGTACAAAACTGAATAAATGACTCTCCTTGTTTTATTTTTAGAGATTCTAGTTCGATAGCAATACATTCCTCTGAACGGGGGTCGCCGAAATGCTGGGTCAAAATTTCTTTCAAATCCTCCCACGTACTTAAACTAGGGTTATCACTAAGTAGAGTCGCAGCTCTACCACTAAGCTTACCACTTATAGCATGGAATCTATATAAATTTTGAATCGGAGTATTATCGCCTCCTGAATTTAACAAAACATATTCACATTTTGAGATGAATAAATTGAGTAATTTTTCATCTCCATCGTATCTAGGAATCAAGTCTAAAATATGTGCTGGAATAACACTTACTGCCATTTTTATTTAAACTATCTTACTTAATCTAACTTAAACTATTAGCAAGAATATTATCAGCCTATTTTGTGCCAACAAAATCAGATAATTTCAAATAATTTGGCCCGACGATTTTAGTCCGGAAAATGCGGAAAAGAATGGGATAAATGTAAACAGGAGGTGAAGAGGTTTACTCACAGTATGTTCAATCCCATGTCCTCCAGTTGATTCTGACCACTTCGATATTGCCGATGATCCAATGCGCGTAATCGATTGATTTGGAAACGATAGCGCGCGCGTCGCGGGAGTTATTTGTTTGGTTCGAGGATATCCGAACCTGACTGCTATACTGACGCTTAAACCGATTTTGGGGTCCGAAAGGCGTTAGCACGACAGCAGAATATATACGGATATCCTACCGGCTGCGCCACTTAACCCTTACATTGGCATGTGCCCTGGAGATCACGGGAATTTTAACAAAATGTTTTGTTATAATTATTTTCAGTTTTAAAAAACTTTCATTACTTATGATTTAGCTTACTTCAAAAATATACAGAAAAAAAAATTTCAATGTGTCAAAAGTAACGTTTGCTGTCATTGCGAAACAAAATGTCAGGAGGGTCGAGTAGTCGCCGGCGCATTGAGGTAAATAATAATAAAAATATCCTAGTAGATCTATTAACTTCATTGTTTTTCAATTTGAAATTTATAGTAGGAACATAAAACTTCTCATATGTAGTATTTGCATAAATTATAATTATTTATAAGGTAATTTTTATTGCGTCGAAATTCAGTTGTGCCTTGTAGGGCACCTTATTAGGTTACCTTAAATTGTATGTTGTGCCTTACAGTGCACACGTTCACTTAACAGAAAAGTGTTTATGTGCCTTACAGGGCACTTAGCCAGTTAATAGTACTTCTCTTGTGTCTTTTGTAGGTTACTTTAATAATACTTTTTCACCGATATTGCCCATGCTTTTACATTCCTCCAGCTTTTTTTTTGTTTTGAGATGGTCATAAAGCTGGAAATAGTGTTATACTGACGTCAGTATATATATATATATATATATATATATATATATATATATATATATATATATATATATATATATATATATATATATTAGCAATTAGTTTAGACGTACATATATGCTATAGTTTTTTGTGCACAATTCTTTGTAAAACTGATCAGCGACCGAAGTCAGAACAACATTATTTCCAATCGAACGCTGTCGATTGCTGACAGTACGAGACCGACGTCAGCGTAATACTATTTCCAAACTAAGTACTTTTTTTTTATATTTTCAGCGCATAATGTCTTTCGTTCTACCTGATAAAGCTAGCGAAGAAACTTCTGATTCAGATGATGCTCAGAAATTCGTCACTACAAACATATATAACAGTAAAACTGTTAGTGAAACTGAAAGTGAAGATGAGATTTCAGTATCCCCAAAAGCTATGATAGTTCCTTCTTTGAGTCTAAACTATGTTAGATCCAGTCAAGCTACGGTTCATCAAACCTCTGCTGTCCAATGTTTGAATTCTGTTGAATATCCATATAGTTATGATCCTTATTTTCCGCAAATACCCAGTGTTTCGGAACAATCCCTTGTCAATGTTACCGATTCCAATCAGAATTTACCATCAGTGTCATCCTGTTATGAGACCCCATCTATAATGGATCAAAATATGCTATCTGAAATCGGTACCATTGAGTCACCTTACACGCAAAACAAAGAAAAAACTGATGAGATATTATCAAGCCCTTGTCCTAACTTTCTGGATGATTTCTATTTGAACAGTGACTGTGAGATAGAAGATGTAGCGAAATCGACTCGTAAGCAAAAACTAGTAGCTAAGACGTCTACTTCAAATAAAAGAATTAAAAAATCTGCTGAACTTGCGGAAATTACGCCTAAACGAAGGTCTCTTCGTCAGAAATCTTTGATTTCTCAAACGCAAACTCAAAATAGTCCGAAATTATATATACAAGCTTCATCTAAAGATTCCTGCTACCATCATTTACAAACCAAACCCACAACAACTAATACAAATAGTAAAAGTAGCAATAAAGCAAAAACAGACCAAAATTTATATAAATCAAAAACTAAAACGATTTTACGGATCCATAACAAAAAAGAATACACTAATAGGACTAAATCAACCTCATTAACAGATAAACTTACAACTAATAAAACAAGTAAAGCTATTGGTCTTTGTGAATGGGTAGGAAAAGAATTTGCTTATGGAGTACAAAACTTAAAGCAAAACCAGTTTACAACTCCTAATGAAGTTGGCAGCCCTTTAAAATATTTTTATAAATTTATTGACGAAGATTTAATACAGTACATAAGAGATCAAACAATTTTGTATGCGTACCAAAAAGATTCCAAAGAATTAACGTTGAGTACACAAGATATCAAGGATTTTTTTAGTGTTGAGATATTTATGGGTATTATCCAGTTACCCGCGTATGTTGATTATTGGTCTAAGGATTTTAAAGTAGATTGTATTATAAATGTGATGTCCCTCAAAAAATATCAGTAAATAAGACGTTATCTCCATTTCAATGACAGTGAAGTTGAAAATGAGAGCAATGACCGTTATTACAAAATTCGCCCTCTGTTTGATAAAGTTATATCCAACTGCAGAAAGATTGAAGAAGAAAGTAGAATGTCCATTGATGAGATGATGGTACCGTATAAAGGGAAGAAGTCAGGTGAATTAAAACAATACATAAAAACTAAGCCTAAAAATGGGGGTACAAAATGTTTGTTAGAGCAGGAGTCTCTGGTATAGTGTATGACGCAATTCTATATGGTGGACAGTATACTTTTTCGGGAAGGGATTTTAGTGATTATGAAAATACCTTGGGATTGGGTGCCAAAGTTGTCCTTTCTTTATGTCGCACGATAAGAGATCCCGTACTAACTGTGGTATACTTTGATAACTATTTTTCAAGCGTCGAGTTAATGCACCATCTACGAAACGAACTGGGTATCTTGTCGATTGGCACATTTCGACAAAATAGAACGAGAGGATGTATTCTGAAGGATGACAAAGAAATGAAGAAGATGCCTCGAGGATCGGTGGATATGAAAGTTTGTTAGGAAAAAAAATAGTTTTAGTGAAATGGTTTGATAATAAAGGAGTTTTGCTAGGTAGTAACTACACCGGCGTTGAATCAATGGGTGTATGCAAACGATATTTCAAGGATAAAAAAGAATATCGAGAGATTCCTTGCCCAAACATCGTAAAAGAATACAACAAGCATATGGGCGGTGTAGACTTAGCCGATATGTTAGTGGCTATTTACCGGACCATCTACAAAACAAATAAACGGTATATGCCTATTTTTTCTCAGCTGTTGGACGTGGCTATAAATAATGCATGGCTTTTGTACAGAAGGGAATGTGGCCTCAAGACTGGCGTCGACGATCATATTGCTTTGAAAGCATTCCGTTTTAAAGTGGCACAAGAAATGAGTTCATATATTCCAAAAGCACTGGCTGAAAATGTCGAGCCTCCGAATCGAGTAAACCAACGCCGCATAATTAGCAGGCCTATCGCAACTCGACCAGAAGCAGAAAGTCGATATGACGGTAAAGAGCACTTTCCTAAAATCACAACAAAAGGCCGTTGTAGACTTTGTGTGAAAGGAAAAACTACTTTCTTGTGTATAAAATGTAACATGCGTCTATGTTGTTTTTATACTTTTCATCAAAAAGAACAAGAAACATAGCAATAAAATATTTTTATTACTCTTTAGCCCTTCAGTTAAATTAGAAAATATACTTAGCTGATAATTTACTTAGCTTATAAAAAATTTAGAACCTTTACTTG